CCACTCTCAAACTTTTCTTCTCCGGCACGATTAACCTGAAAGCGTGAAACAATTGGTAAACATTGTTATTTTATACTCTTTGGTTCTTTCGGTAAAGTCACGTAGGTATAAAATAAAATAAGCAATGCTTTCCCACCTGATGGCGGACGCTTGAGTTGCGCCCGAAACGTCGTGATTTATTTTTATTTTATACCTACGTGACTTTACCGAAAGAACCAAAGAATATGGATAGTCACGAAAGCTTCAAATCAAGATTGTTCATTTAATTTTAAAAAGCCATGGAATTATATTAGTAGTAGAATTTTGGGGGCTTTCAAGTTGATTTTCCAATGTCAATGCTAAAAGTCGATGTCTGTCTTTGGCCTAGGTCAAAAATTGAGCCTACCTTCGCCATATAGGTCGCATGCATATTTTTGGAACAGTTTTTAGAGAAATAAAGTACGACTTATATGGCGGAAAATACAGTACTTATACTTTGATTCAGCATTCACGAGTGAAATAACTTTTCACTTCATCTCTGGAGGCCCTCCAGCTGGCAGAGGCCCCCTGGGCTGCAGCCCCTAAAGCCCGTGCCTTGATCCAGCTCAGCCCGTGCCCCTTATACATCTCAACGTTCATCCTACAAAGTCCTATCACAAGGGAGAAACACAAATAAATATGACAAAATCAATATATTTTTGCCCGTATTGAAATGGCGGCTGTACGCCGTGTGGACCTGAAAATCCAATATCCCTCTACAAGAATACGGGCTTAAGAATATGTGGTTAAACCGTATGGGTTGACACGATATGGGGGGGCTTCATATGCGCTGCTCGCTAACAGCACTTGCCCCAGCAGTCTGTGAAGGTCTACACGGAGTGGAGGTTTGTGCAGTGAGTGGGGTGGGTGAGTGGGGTGAGTGGGGTGGGTGGGGTGGGTGAGTGGGGTGTGTGGGGTGGGTGAGTGGGGTGAGTGGGGTGAGTGAGTGAGGTGGGTGGGGTGGGTGAGTGGGGTGGGTGGGGTGGGTGAGTGGGGTGGGTGAGTGGGGTGGGGTGAGTGGGGTGGGTGGGGTGAGTGAGTGGGGTGGGTGAGTGGGGTGGGTGAGTAGGGTGGGGTGGGTGAGTGGGGTGGGGTGGGTGAGTGGGGTGGGTGGGTGGGTGGGTGAGTGGGGTGGGTGGGTGAGTGAGGTTGGGTGGGGTGGGTGAGTGGGGTGGGGTGGGGTGGGTGAGTGGGGTGTGTGGGGTGGGTGAGTGGGGTGGGGTGAGTGGGGTGGGGTGAGTGGGGTAGGGTGAGTTGGGTTGGTGGCGTAATTGAATGGGGTGGGTAAGTGTGGTGGGTGAGTGGGGTGAGTGGGGTGAGTGGGGTGGGGTGGGTGAGTGGGGTGGGTGAGTGGGGTGGGGTGGGGTGGGTGAGTGGGGTGGGGTGGGGTGGGGTGGGTGAGTGGGTGGGGTGGGTGAGTGGGGTGGGGTGGGGTGGGTGAGTGGGTGGGGTGGGTGAGTGGGGTGGGTGAGTGGGGTGGGGTGGGTGAGTGGGTGGGGTGGGTGAGTGGATGAGTGGGGTGGGGTGGGTGAGTGGGGTGGGTGAGTGGGGTGGGGTGGGTGAGTGGGGTGGGTGAGTGGGGTGGGTGAGTGGGGTGAGTGGGTGGGGTGGGTGAGTGGGGTGAGTGGGGTGGGGTGAGTGGGGTGGGGTGAGTGAGTGGGGTGGGGTGGGTGAGTGGGGTGGGGTGGGTGAGTGGGGTGGGGTGAGTGGGGTAAGTGAGTGGTGTGGGGTGGGTGAGTGGGGTGGGTGAGAGGGGTGGGGTGAGTTGGGTGGGTTGGGGTGAGTGGGGTATGTGAGTGGGGTGGGGTGGGTGGGTGGGTGGGGTGGGGTGGGTGAGTGGGGTGGGGTGGGTGAGTGGGGTGGGGTGCATGAGTGGGGTGGGGTGGGGTGGGGTGAGTGGGGTGGGGTGGGATGGGTGAGTGGGGTGGGGTCGGGTGAGTGGGGTGGGGTGGGTTGGGTGGGGTGGGTTGAGTGGGATGGGTGAGTGGGGTGAGTGGGGTGGGGTGCGTGAGTGGGGTGGGGTGAGTGGGGTGGGTGAGTGAGGTGGGGTGGGGTGGGTGAGTGGGGTGGAGTGGGGTGGGTGAGTGGGGTGGAGTGAGTGGGGTGGGGTGGGGTGAGTGGGGTGGGGTGGGTGAGTGGGCTGGGGTGAGTGGGGTGGAGTGGGGTGAGTGGGGTGGAGTGGGTGGGTGAGTGGGGTGGGGTGGGATGGTGAGTGGGGTGGGGTCGGGTGAGTGGGTGGGGTGGGGTGAGTGGAGTGGGGTGGGGTGAGTGGGGTGAGTGGGGTGGGTGGGGTGGGTAGGGTGAGTGGGGTGAGTGGGGTGGGGTGGGTTGAGTGGGGTGGAGTGAGTGGGGTGGGGTGGGTGAGTGGGCTGGGGTGAGTGGGGTGGAGTGGGGTGAGTGGGGTGGAGTGGGTGGGTGAGTGGGGTGGGGTGGGATGGTGAGTGGGGTGGGGTCGGGTGAGTGGGTGGGGTGGGGTGAGTGGAGTGGGGTGGGGTGAGTGGGGTGAGTGGGGTGGGTGGGGTGGGTAGGGTGAGTGGGGTGAGTGGGGTGGGGTGGGTTGAGTGGGGTGGGGTGGGTGAGTGGGTTGGGGTGGGTGAGTAAGGTGGGGTGAGTGAGGTGGACTGAGTGGGGTGGAGTGGGTGAGTGGGGTGGGGTGGGGTGGGTGAGTGGGGTAAGTGAGTGGGGTGGGGTGGAGTTGGGTGGGTGAGTGGGGTGAGTGGGGTGAGTGGGGTGGGATGAGTGGGGTGGGTGAGTTGGGTGATGTGAGTGGGGTGGATGAGTGGGGTGAGTGGGGTGAGTCAGTGAGGTGGGTGGGGTGGGTGAGTGGGGTGGGTGGGGTGGGTGAGTGGGGTGGGTGAGTGGGGTGGGGTGAGTGGGGTGGGTGGGGTGAGTGAGTGGGGTGGGTGAGTGGGGTGGGTGAGTAGGGTGGGGTGGGTGAGTGGGGTGGGGTGGGTGAGTGGGGTGGGTGGGTGGGTGGGTGAGTGGGGTGGGTGGGTGAGTGAGGTTGGGTGGGGTGGGTGAGTGGGGTGGGGTGGGTGAGTGGGGTGTGTGGGGTGGGTGAGTGGGGTGGGGTGAGTGGGGTGGGGTGAGTGGGGTAGGGTGAGTTGGGTTGGTGGCGTAATTGAATGGGGTGGGTAAGTGTGGTGGGTGAGTGGGGTGAGTGGGGTGAGTGGGGTGGGGTGGGTGAGTGGGGTGGGTGAGTGGGGTGGGGTGGGTGAGTGGGGTGGGGTGGGGTGGGTGAGTGGGTGGGGTGGGTGAGTGGGGTGGGGTGGGGTGGGTGAGTGGGTGGGGTGGGTGAGTGGGGTGGGGTGGGGTGGGTGAGTGGATGAGTGGGGTGGGGTGGGTGAGTGGGGTGGGTGGGTGAGTGGGGTGGGTGAGTGGGGTGGGTGAGTGGGGTGGGTGAGTGGGGTGAGTGGGTGGGGTGGGTGAGTGGGGTGAGTGGGGTGGGGTGAGTGGGGTGGGGTGAGTGAGTGGGGTGGGGTGGGTGAGTGGGGTGGGGTGGGTGAGTGGGGTGGGGTGAGTGGGGTAAGTGAGTGGGGTGGGGTGGGTGAGTGGGGTGGGTGAGAGGGGTGGGGTGAGTTGGGTGGGTTGGGGTGAGTGGGGTATGTGAGTGGGGTGGGTGGGTGGGGTGGGGTGGGTGAGTGGGGTGGGGTGGGTGAGTCGGGTGGGGTGCATGAGTGGGGTGGGGTGGGGTGAGTGGGGTTGGGTGGGGTGGGTGAGTGGGGTGGGGTGGGATGGGTGAGTGGGGTGGGGTCGGGTGAGTGGGGTGAGTGGGGTGGGTGGGGTGGGTATGGTGAGTGGGGTGGGGTGGGTTGGGTGGGGTGGGTTGAGTGGGTTGGGTGAGTGGGGTGAGTGGGGTGGGGTGCGTGAGTGGGGTGGGGTGAGTGGGGTGGGTGAGTGAGGTGGGGTGGGGTGGGTGAGTGGGGTGGAGTGGGGTGGGTGAGTGGGGTGGAGTGAGTGGGGTGGGGTGGGTGAGTGGGCTGGGGTGAGTGGGGTGGAGTGGGGTGAGTGGGGTGGAGTGGGTGGGTGAGTGGGGTGGGGTGGGATGGTGAGTGGGGTGGGGTCGGGTGAGTGGGGTGGGGTGAGTGGAGTGGGGTGGGGTGAGTGGGGTGAGTGGGGTGGGTGGGGTGGGTAGGGTGAGTGGGGTGAGTGGGGTGGGGTGGGTTGAGTGGGGTGGGGTGGGTGAGTGGGTTGGGGTGGGTGAGTAAGGTGGGGTGAGTGAGGTGGACTGAGTGGGGTGGAGTGGGTGAATGGGGTGGGGTGGGGTGGGTGAGTGGGGTAAGTGAGTGGGGTGGGGTGGAGTTGGGTGGGTGAGTGGGGTGAGTGGGGTTAGTGGGGTGGGATGAGTGGGGTGGGTGAGTTGGGTGATGTGAGTGGGGTGGATGAGTGGGGTGAGTGGGGTGGGGTGAGTGGGGTGGAGTGGATGAGTTGGGTGGGGTGAGTGGGGTGGGGTGGGTGAGTGGGGTGCGGTGGGGTGGGTGAGTGGGGTGCGGTGCATGAGTGGGGTGGGGTGAGTGGAGTGGGGTGGGTGAGTGGAGTGGGGTGGGTGAGTGGGGTGAGTGAATGGGGTGGGGTGGATGAGTGGGGTGGGGTGAGTGGGGTGGGGTGGATGAGTGGGGTGGGATGAGTGCGGTGCATGAGTGGGGTGGGGTGAGTGGGGTGCATGAGCGGGGTGGGGGTGAGCGGGGTGGGGGTGAGCGGGGTGGGGGTGAGCGGGGTGGGGGTGAGCGGGGTGGGGGTGAGCGGGGTGGGGGTGAGCGGGGTGGGGGTGAGCGGGGTGGGGGTGAGCGGGGTGGGGGTGAGCGGGGTGGGGGTGAGCGGGGTGGGGGTGAGCGGGGTGGGGGTGAGCGGGGTGGGGGTGAGCGGGGTGGGGGTGAGCGGGGTGGGGGTGAGCGGGGTGGGGGTGAGCGGGGTGGGGGTGAGCGGGGTGGGGGTGAGCGGGGTGGGGGTGAGCGGGGTGGGGGATCTTCAATTTCCGACTTTCTTTACTTCCGGGTCACAGTCCGCCCCAGCCCCGGCTCCCCTCCCGGCGCTGCTGGCACCGTGGGAGAGGCTCCGCGCCGCGTCCCTGCCGCTGCCCGCGCCCTCCCCGCGCCCTCCCCGAGGGTGTCCGGGCGCGAGGAGGCTGTCGGCCCCTCTCTCTCTGGCTCGCTCCACCGTCCGCCTCGCTCGGCAGCCCGCGATGTCGTCGTAGCAGCCGCCTGGCTGACGAGTCTGGCTGAACGGGCGGGCGGGCAGGGCCTGGTCCCCCTTGGGAAAGATTTGGCTCCCAATCCAGGGCGTCGCAACGTTCCACGGGCAATCCGAACCTCGCTAAAGGTTCGTTTTGTGCGGGGTTTTTTTATTCTTCCCCCAGCACCCTCCCCTCCACACACCTGTTTGGATCGGAGGCCCGCCGACTCGCCAGGCCCCGGCCACGTCAAGCACACGGCTTTCCTCTCTCTGTGTTCGTTCACCTCCCCTCTTTAACGTTTATTGTTATTTGGCCACGACCGTGCGTGTGGTTTTTTTTGGTTGAATGAAGAAACGTGTTTTTTATGTGCGTGTGTGTGTGTCGGTGTCGTCTTCTCGCGAAAGTAAACGCATTTTGAAGCGAGAGGCGTGCCGTGGTCAACGTCGCAGCGTTTGCTTCGTCGACAGAATATTGTTCGATAGTAAATAAATATTGTCAATATCCACGCGCAGCAGCGCTCTTGTGAAATGCAGCGTTGTCAATAATATTAGCACGCTGGACTGTCTTGTCGGGCTATAACTGCTGGATGAAGGCAAATTCATGTGTGCCAAGGGGCTAAACATCGTCAATGTTAACATTTTCTTTGGTTCTTTCGGTAAAGTCACGTAGAATGAGAATACAATAATAAATTCATCAGGTGAAGGCCGCTTGTGTTGTGGCCGAAACGTCGTGAGAATATTATTGTGTTATTTTATCTTATCAATGTATTATTTTATTCTCATTCTACGTGACTTTACCGAAAGAACCAAAGAAGATGAATCCTTGCAGTCACGAAAGCTTTAAATCGAAATGTTAACATTGTCTGTGGCTACACTGCTTTAGTGTTTAAGACGCGTCCCTGAGAGTGTGAGACTTGGTTTACTTTCATGCGGTTCAGCCCACCCCGCCCTGGTTAATCTGCCGTGACTCATCTGCGAGTTGTTTGACCATATCAGTGGGACCTTTTATTGCCAGTATGCAAAACTATGTGAAATAAGATTCGGTTTTACCCTTTCTGGCAATCAAACAGGGGGTGTTAATGTGGTCAAACACCAGATAGATACATTTTGCAAGGCACCACCACGTGTGCATTAATCACACATACTTGTGAAAAAACATGAAAACAAACAATGCCCGTATATATGCATCGACATTGTTTGCATGTTTAGCCATAAGTACTGATGCCTTGCAAAAGGTATCTGTTTGGTGTTTGACCGTACAATACATCAACACGCTTTATCAATGCGGGTTGGTGAATCGGGAGAGGCCCAGGACTTGGTAACGAGATGTTACTCAATCTAGATTTTAAGTTTTGATGTTACTCGCCGCTGGTGACAGCCGTGATCGGGAATCGTGTACTCTGGAAGCTGGGTTCATAACCACTCCGGCCACTGCTTCCTCCCTGTGTGTATGAATACAGAACAGTAATGTGTGACATTGATAATATGTACGGCATATTCTCAGATTAACACGATCCATTGTAACGTCTATGACTATTCTGTATTTATAACATCACTTTACTCCCTCCGTTTAAGACTGAAACAAGAGGATGACTTCTTCACAATTCTGGCTATCACCTGATGAAGCTGGCTGTAATGACCAGCGAAACGTCATACTCGAATTGTAAATGTTGTGGGTTTACTGTCCAACGCACCGGTATGCTGAAGTAGTAACTAATTGGCACGTTTTATTTACGCGGCAAACCTTACTAATAGTTGGCTGTGTCGGGTGGTGGTGGGTTTAAAAACATTTAAATGTATGCAATCTAACCCCTCAAAAAACCTGTTATGTATAATCAAGAATTGTGCATTTCTACATATATTTCTGCACCTCCAATTAGCACGGCTGACTACGTATGGTGCGAAAGAAGTTCAACGCACGTACAATATCTGAAACCCTGGGTGTTTTTTTAGCCAGTCTCGTTGAGCCACGCTAGTGAATGCTGCTATTGTTGAAGAGTTTTGAAATACAGTACGGTATGAAAGTGGATGCCTTCATGGGATTAGAATGTCCGCAACTGGCTCCGGTCTACCAGTGGAGATTAGCGTTCAACCACATGTTTCATAGATTGGTCACTTCCAACAGTGGTAGGGAATTGTATCGACCCGTGAATGTAGTGAATCGACCACGGTGAATTTAACTCGGCAGTTTAATTATGAATTGAAGTAGCCTGACCTGCAGAGACCACCAGACCTGCGTATGTTTGGGTGGAATTTCCCAAACGACATTGCAATCTTAGGTTTTATACCTTTTCAGTGATGTGGTAATAAATATTATACCAAGTGTTGGAAGAAGCCATTCACAGAAGGATACAAAAAAATAATGTTCTCCCCTTTGTCTATCCACCGCTGGATGAACACTTTGGCACGTGCTTGGCATAGTGATTACAGGTCGGCGAAGACTACCTTGGGAAAATATATTACTGTATACTGTAAACCAGAAATATTTTTTTAAAAAGTTGCTTTGGGAAGCGGTGCATGTGATCACATGCTTTTCATATTCGGAAATTCGCATTTGGTTTCCAGTTAAGTGATATTGTAAAAGTGGCATGAGATTAAGAATTCACGAGGAGGGATGAAAGTATACGTGTTCCTCCACAAAAAATAATTTACTCATGACTTGGATACAAATGTACAGGAATTACGTTTTCATGTAGATGCCTGTAGCATCCAGAGTAGTACATTGATAGAGGGCAGTGAATGGTTTTAATTTATTGAATGGAAGAGGGCTAGTTGCTGATACAACAATTGGAGTGGTCGCCACGAATCTGACGGCCAAGGGGAGAGGAGACCTTAGAGCAGATGGTGGGAGACTTAAGGTAGAGATCTAAGAGGTCGCTGTTTTTTCTACTGGGCAGCAGCTACAGGATCTGGTAGAGTGTAGAAAGTGTTGGCAAAGTGCAGTGGTATCAATGGCTTTGGCCATAATGACATCTTGATCTTGACATTATTATAGAACGTGCATCACAAATTAAGTATCTTTTGCAATCTACAGATTGTATTTACAGACAAACTCTACTTAATTTGAGAATTGATTGTTTTTTAAGTCCACATCGTAATTATGTCCAGTCATCATCTTCCGGATGACTTAGTGGATAGAAACTTAATGATTTGCATCCTAGGTGAAACCTCAAGCAGAGGTAGACAGACTGTGTGAGACCACGCCCTGTCTCTACATTCTCTTCTTGCCACAGACTGGGCGTTACAGCAGCATGCCTCCGTGTCCCCGGGCCGCCCAGCGCCATGCAGGAGGCTCCTGCCCCGCCCGCCGCACGGCCCCGCGCCACCGGATTTGTCCTCGTGCACGCAGGAGCAGGCTTCCACTCGGAGGCCAAAGCCAGGGAGTACAAGCAGGTGTGCCGCAGGGCCTGCCGCAGGGCGGCTGAGGAGCTGCGCGCCGGCGCGGGCTCCCTCAGGGCGGTGACGGCCGCGCTGGTGGAGCTGGAGAACTCCCCGCTCACCAACGCGGGGACGGGCTCGAACCTGAACATCGCGGGCGAGGTGGAGTGCGACGCCAGCATCATGGACGGCGAGGCGCTGCACTTTGCCGCCGTGGGGGCCCTGAAGCGTATCAAGAACCCCGTTCTGGTGGCCAACAAGCTGCTGCTGGAGGGGAGCAAGGGCAAGCTATCGGCCGGCCGTGTCCCACCATGCTTCCTCGTGGGCGAGGGCGCGCTGGCCTGGGCGCTGGCGCACAGCATCCCGACGTGCGCCGAGGAGTCGCTGGTGACGAAGCTGAGCGTCTCCGTCTTCAAGAGGAACAAGCGCAAGCTGGAGATGGCAGAGGAATCGCAGACTCTGCACAAGCGAAGGAGGCTGTCGGCGCAGGCGGAGGCCGCGGCGGCGGCGGCGCCGCTCGACACGGTCGGGGCGGTCGTGATCGACGCCAGCGGGCACGTGGCGGCGGCCGTGTCGAGCGGCGGCCTGGCCATGAAGCACCCGGGCCGCATCGGCCAGGCGGCCATGTACGCGTGCGGTTGCTGGGCGGAGGACGCGAGCGCCGCGAACTCGCACGCCACGGCCGTGAGCACGTCGGGCTGCGGGGAGCACCTCATGAAAACCATGCTGTCCCGCGAGTGCGCCCTCGCCATGCAAGCCGAGGACGCCCACCAGGCCCTGCTGCACACCATGCAGCACAAGTTCATCAACTCTCCCTTCCTGGCCGGAGAGGACTGTGTCATGGGCGGGGCCATCGTGCTCCGGCACCAGAGCTGCAAAGATCCGGGGGGCGAGTCGCAGCCCCCGCCGCCGATGCTGGTGGAGTTTCTGTGGACGCACACGACTGACAGCATGTGCGTCGGATACATGTCGACAGAGGACAGCAAGCCAAAGACCTCCATCTCCAGGCTGCCTCCGGCTGCCGTCTCCGGCCGCTCTGTTGCCATCGAAGGTGGTGTCTGCAGACTTGGCGGTCCGCCATGCTAAACAAAGCACAGAGGTCTTTGTAATTAAAGTGGAATGTCCTCCCCAATCAAGTGAGTTTGAGGGTGTGCTCATATTCATTTATAAGTTTAGCCGGAGCTGTCTCGGGCTAAACAAACTCTAGTAAATATATCCCTGCCCTCCTTGCCTAACCCCCCCCCGCCCCCAACCAATAAAAATCCATGAGAAATAGCCAGTGGTGGAAATTCCGTATTACCATGGAGGACATGAGTCCTTCCTTAGGATTACCACCTTGGTTCATGTCCTATGTTTTCCGATGTTGTGACACAATCACACAATGGTACTTGTAGACCCCAGTGGTTGAGGGGTCATGTTAACTCCACCCCAACTGGGTTTGAATTCGCACACTTTTCCCGATTGTGAATTGCAATCGTATGACTGTCAATGTAAATCTTTAATATTGCTACCTTGATCCACCTTTTTGTAAGCATGGTTAGAATTACCAAAACGCATTGTAAAAGTGTTTCCAAATGTAAATGTATATTCTGCAAGTAATGTAAATATTTTGTCACGCCGCAAATGACATTTTGTCTTTAAATTAGTAACCCTATGAATTGTGCAAAGCACGCATATTCCACTTATTTTTTTAATCTACATTTTCAGGTCATACACAGTGTGGTTTGGATTTCAACATTAGTTCATATTAGCACCGTAGCTGAGTAGTTTTGAGTGTTTAAGTGTGTACTACTGGTTTTGCTGAAACACAAAGGAAATTATGATAAATTGATAAGCGGATGCTGCTAAGCGTAAACAATTCACCTTTACCAATATCACCCGAAGGTGTAACCAATGACGTGCATGGCTGTGTTGTCTGAAGCTTGTGCGTGATTGTATTAACTTGAGCAATACTTAATGGTTTAATTGACTAAAGTGAGGGTATAAGGCTGGCTGTGCAATGCAGATAGGGTCAAATCAATGCATATATGGTCAGTTGAATGTATGGCATTTGGCAGGTTATGGCATTTCCACTTGCAGTAATCTCGCGTGATAATGTGTTCAGATTTAGAGCAGTTAACGAACGTTGTAAAGTGTTTTTTTTCTTCAAAGAAAGAGCACTTTGTCCATTGTTCGCAGATATCAAAATTAAACACATGGGCCATAGTTGAGGTGCGAATGTTGCTGCTTTACACATTTGTCATCAAATGAGTGAGTACGAATATGCCTACTGCAATATATGCTGCTAAAATAAACACTTGCTATCTCAGCAGTGTTCTTACTCGGTGTGTATTTGTGGATTGATCGACAACAGGGTTTTCCAAACATTACCCCTCAAGGGCCACCACAGTCTTACTTTACACATTTATTCTCTGTTCAAATGCAAATGAAGTAAGTTCAGGCTGCACTTACCTAATGATTGGTAAACACATACCACGTGACTTAAAGGGTGCTGACACGCTATTACTGTTGAGATCTCGCGTGAGTTGATGTGCGTCACACACAACACAGAAAGCAACTACTGTATTAAATTTCATCATCAGCCAAGATCAATCCACTGTTGGCTAAAATTCTCCAAAACCATTACAGTAACACCCCCCGGTTTACGTGGGGGATGCCTGGCTGAAAGGTGTGATGACGAATATCGAACAAAAGTCAAAGACATTTACAGGGTACGTGGAGGCGAAGGCCAAGGCGATAGATACAACAAAATACGGATGCTGTCGGCGACGTAACTGTGCATTGAGGCAACGCAAATCAGGTCATGGTATTAATGAAGTGAGGCATTTGCGAAATTGCCGTGAAAGGGGGAGACGGAAATCTGGGTGCCATCTTTCATGGTCCAGTGATGCAACAATCCAGCTAGCACCTGTGCACAAGCTAATTTGATCACCTTATCTCCACGGTTGACGACTTGTCAGGTGTGTGTTCTCCTTTCGCAGCCACTGTTAGTCTCAATCAACAGCCATCATCGTGAGCGTGGCACGTGAGGTTTGCATGAAACAATGCTGCTTTATCCCTAAAAATCTGAGGTTCTGCTGGTTGGCACTCTGAGTCAGTGGAAAATTAATTGTGGGAGGATCAGGTGATGGTGGTCGACCAGAATATATCATATTACCAGTGCGGGATTAAGCTAATGCGGGACCTGTAGCATATGTTATAAAGGGGCCATAAATTTATAAAAACCACAAATATGAAAACAAATTTTAAACTTGCATAGTAAAGTAATTGTATTTTTTCATTTGCTATACGGCCAGACTACGACAAATCGCTAACCTTAAGCACCCAGTCACTCGTAAAAGTTGAAGGCAGTATAGTACTACAGTAATAGAGCAAGTGCAGAATCACTGAACCGGAATTGATAGCTTGAAATCCTTTAGTGCGGGGCCCTTGAAAGTGTGGGGCCCGTAGCATATGTACAGTGAGGGAAAAAAGTATTTGATCCCCTGCTGATTTTGTACGTTTTCCCAATGACATGATCAGTCTATAATTTTAATGGTAGGTTTATTTGAACAGTGAGAGACAGAATAACAACAATAAAATCCAGAAAAACGCATGTCAAAAATGTTATAAATTGATTTGCATTTTAATGAGGGAAATAAGTATTTGACCCCTCTGCAAAACATGACTTAGTACTTGGTGGCAAAACCCTTGTTGGCAATCACAGAGGTCAGACGTTTCTTGTCGTTGGCCACCAGGTTTGCACACATCTCAGGAGGGATTTTGTCCCACTCCTCTTTGCAGATATTCTCCAAGTCAGTAAGGTTTCGAGGCTGACGTTTGGCAACTCGAACCTTCAGCTCCCTCCACAGATTTTCTATGGAATTAAGGTGTGGAGACTGGCTAGGCCACTCCAGGACCTTAATGTGCTTCTTCTTGAGCCACTCCTTTGTTGCCTTGGCCGTGTGTTTTGGGTCATTGTCATGCTGGAATACCCATCCACGACCCATTTTCAATGCCCTGGCTGAGGGAAGGAGGTTCTCACCCAAGATTTGACGGTACATGGCCCCGTCCATCGTCCCTTTGATGCGGTGAAGTTGTCCTGTCCCCTTAGCAGAAAAACACCCCCAAAGCACAATGTTTCCACCTCCATGTTTGACGGTGGGGATGGTGTTCTTGGGGTCATAGGCATCATTCCTCCTCCAAACATGGCGAGTTGAGTTGATGCCAAAGAGCTCCATTTTGGTCTCATCTGACCACAACACTTTCACCCAGTTGTCCTCTGAATCATTCAGATGTTCTTTGGCAAACTTCAGACGGGCATGTATATGTTCTTTCTTGAGCAGGGGGACCTTGCGGGCGTTGCAGGATTTCAGTCCTTAACGGCGTAGTGTGTTACCAATTGTTTTCTTGGTGACTATGGTTCCAGCTGCCTTGATATCATTGACAAGATCCTCCCGTGTAGTTCTGGGCTGATTCCTCACCGTTCTCATGATCATTGCAACTCCACGAGGTGAGGTCTTGCATGGAGCCCCAGGCCGAGGGAGATTGACAGTTATTTTGTGTTTCTTCCATTTGCGAATAGTCGCACCAACTATTGTCACCTTCTCACCAAGCTGCTTGGCAATGGTCGTGTAGCTCATTCCAGCCTTGTGTAGGTCTACAATCTTGTCCCTGACATCCTTGGAGAGCTCTTTGGTCTTGGCCATGGTGGAGAGTTTGGAATATGATTGATTGATTGCTTCTGTGGACAGGTGTCTTATACATGTAACAAGCTGAGATTAGGAGCACTCCCTTTAAGGGTGTACTCCTAATCTCAGCTCGTTACCTGTATAAATGACACCTGGGAGCCAGAAATATTTCTGATTGAGAGGGGGTCAAATACTTATTTCCCTCATTAAAATGCAAATCAATTTATAACATTTTTGACATGCGTTTTTCTGGATATTTTTTGTTATTCTGTCTCTCACTGTTCAAATAAACCTACCATTAAAATTATAGACTGATCATTTCTTTGTCAGTGGGCAAACGTACAAAATCAGCAGGGGATCAAATACTTTTTTCCCTCACTGTAGCTACTTTTGCTACCCGCATAATCCGGCACTGCATTCGACCACTTAAGTCATGACATGGCCAACAAGGTGGCATGTAGCATACTATTGATAAGGCTCGATTATTGCAACTCACTACTCTACGGGACGTCTGACAAGAAACATTTCCAAGTACAAACTCGTGACAGGTACTGCAAGATCCAATCATGTCCGTCCAGTGTTCGCCACACTGCATTGGCCTCCGGTTGCCGAACGAATACATTCTCAGCTCGCATTCATTACTACACACAGTACTAGCCATAAATGAACCACGACACCTCGCTGATCTCGTCAAGGAGCATCACGCAAACTCTGGCCACCCTTGCAGCGACTTTTGGCGAGCCATCGAACAAAGATGGTTACCGCATCGTGCGCTTTTCAGTTGTGCCTCTGCGGCCATCTGGAATGCTCTTCCTTCCGATATGAGAAAGCCACTGGGGCTATGCACTTTTAAATAATCTAGATTGAAAACGAATTTCTTTGGAATGGCTTTTTGTGTGTTGTAGTCCTTCCCCCGCACCTCCAATTGGCATGGTTGGCTACATACGGTGCGAAAGAAGTTCATACATATGCAGTGACTAACTCTGAGACGATAAGACTTGGAGGCACTTCTTTTATTAACGAGAACCATTGGTATAATACACAACTCTACGTGGGTACACACTATTACTGTTGCTCACCTATACAAAACACTAACCGTCTAACACTGACGGCGCTGAACCGAGAAGCTAATAACTATCTAGCAGCGCGATATCGAGTGAAGACGACAGCGATGATGGCGACGAGACAGTGACGATGGCGACGATCTTGAGCAGCACAACGGGGATCCCACTCCAACAACAGCCCCGGGGTCCCTCACAGGGGCCCTTCTTATACTCTCAGCGTGGCCTCGCTCCGCCCTGGCCACGCCCCCTCTCTGGAACCTACTAGCGGGTTCCCGAGGCTTCCCGATGGGCCACCCTCTATGACCTTTCCCCCCTAGATGTCCCCCTGTCGTGTCTGTCATGGCCTGCTGACTTCAATACTGCCGTACACCGCAGCTCCACTTTTTCGCCAGCAGCCAGCACTATGCTACTACACATACATACAAAACTATACCGAAATAAAAATAAACTAGACACACTCGTAAACAATAATACCTTAAAATAAATATATATATCTTCTTTGGTTCTTTCGGTAAAGTCACGTAGAATGATAATAAAATAATAAATTGATAAAATAAAATAACACAATAATATTCTCACGACGTTTCGGCCACAACACAAGCGGCCTTCATCAGGTGAAGGGGGCGAGACTGTCTGGTAGGACAGCGCTGGAGTGAAAGAGCCACGTTCAGATACGGCCTTTAAGCCTAAAACGCCTTAAAGGCCGACCAGACAGTCTCGCCCCCTTCACCTGATGAAGGCCGCTTGTGTTGTGGCCGAAACGTCGTGAGAATATTATTGTGTTATTTTATTTTATCAATTTGTTATTTTATTATCATTCTACGTGACTTTACCGAAAGAACCAAAGAAGATGAATCATTGCAGTCACGAAAGCTTTAAATCGAAATATATATATAATCGGTGACGTTTTGGCTAATGGCCCTTCATCACGGCACATACTGTCATGCACAGAATGAAATAATAATTTGCGTTATGGAGAATATGCCAGACGGTGTTGGCTATTAATGTGGCCTGTAATCCAGCACTGTTGTGGAGAAAGCAAGGGTTGGTGGATCACAGAAAAGTTGAAAAACTCCCCCGTGGGCGTGGAGGAAGAGCCATACCCTGGCTTGCCAGGGGCAGGCGGTACAGCAAGTGTGGACTAATCTCAATCTCTTCCATCTGCATGGGATAATAGTGATGCCCCTTTTTGCGCACGCGTGGGGTTTCTCGGGGTGATCCGGTTTCCTCCCACATATAAACACTAATTTACTAAGGCCGAAAACACCTTTACATATAGAGGACCACAGAGCTTGGATAATCGTTGGTACCAGCTCACTGCCTGGCTGCTGCTGCCTTCCCGTGGGTCTATGGCTCCTCGTCGCGCCTCTCTCTATCCGAGAGCGATTACTGTTGGGCGCGTTACAAGTTTCAATTACTACTGCAGTATTATAACGCCTTCATTTATAGAGGACCACAGAGCCTGGGAAATTGTTGATGCTGGCGCACCGTGTGGTGACTCTGCCTTTCCCACTTTGTGTGTTCTCTCTTTCTCTCGTCAAGATTGAACGAATACCATGTAGCAATGCGTTACGAATTTAAATTAA